CCAAGCCTTGACAGGTCATCAATAAACTCCAGCTGTTGAATGGGCTCCATTTTCTCATCCAATAATTTGTTAACTTGAGTCACTAGCTCAGTTACTCTTTTCGAGTGCTTTTCTTCCTGTGCATAAAAATTTGAAAAATAATTAAAGCCCTCCAAACAAAAGAAAGAAAATTCATATAGTAGTTTAGATTTAGAGTACAGAAATTGTATAATAAACAGACGTAAAGGTTGAATTTTTAGTTCGTTCGTTATGTTACACAGTAGGGTGTTGTTAGCCTTATCTTAATATTGTTGACTATTACAATTCGAGCCCGCCAGTCCCGATAGATTCAATTTCCAATAAATACATCAATTCATTTTTTCCTTTCTATTTTTTCTATTTCGTTTTTATTGTTTAGGTTTCTAAGTATGTTTGTGAATAGATATGCATAAATGCGATGACATATTTTTTGTTTTTTTTTTTTAAAAGAAATAACTTAATTGAACAATGACATGACACATTCGATGATTGAAATACCANTGTGTAAGTTAAAAAAAAAAGTGTACCTTATATTCAGTCCTCAAAGATTGAATAAAATCAAAATTCCAAAGAGGAGGCTTGTAGTTTCCCGATCGTCGTCTAATTTGGTCAACAGTCGTAACTGAGGCCATGGCCTTACATTGTAATGGCGAGTAGTGATGCTTAAAGTCGTTAACAGAGTAAGAATTCGACACACGAAACAACCTTTGTGAGGTTTTCATGTCAATTCGCCATGGATTTTTAGTCCCTATGTTTTGGTCATTCACCATAAACATTTTGATGGTGTTAGACATTTGATTGACTATATATACTCAAATAGTTCTATTTTTTTTATTTTTTATTTTTTATTGGGTTTCCTTTTCCTTTTGTGGTGATGCAATTGATCTTATGGAAGTGTGGTGAGCTTAAATAGAGCAACAATGGGAGTGCCAATAATTGAACATTGGTCATTTATGTCACTCTCACAACAAGTTGTTAACACGTTTTTAGGGACATGATTAACACGTTTTTTTTATTGGTGGGATGTAGTTTTGAGAGAACTGATTAATTAGCACGCTTTCTTTCAACAGTAGTAAGCAATTTCAAGCTTATAACAAGTGGTGCTAATTTTTGGGCGTCAATCATATCATATCAAAACAATTCTGACTCTTCGGAATATGAATTGATTTTGGTTGATAAAATGCAACCGACGCAAACGATTTGTTTAAAAATTCATCTAAAGAAATGTGTTTAGTTGGTTTGAAATGATTTATAGTGAGATTAGATAGACATTAAGAGAGCTTTCAGATATTAATATATATATATGTATATTTTTTTTGTTTTAATTTTGTCTTGTATAATATTTTTTGGACGGAACAAATGCTTGGGTTCAAATTCTTTTTTTTTTTTTAAAGAAAAATAACTATTCATCTTGTACATTTTTTTTTTCTCAATATTATCAATACAATTAAATAATAAAAAATAAATAATTATTGCTCATTCTCAATAAAATTCATTTCAGTTATCAACAATCTAAATTTATCATTAATTAATTTTAACAATACTGATAATGAATCACCAACTCTAATTAACAACAATCTCTGTCAATCGAATTTTATTTTACTGAATATATGATCAAAATAAGCTATTCGACTAAATTTAACTAGTGGACAACCCAAAATAATCTCTTCAAATTTAGTGCAAACATTATTTCCTACAAAAATAGATTGCTCTAATCAACGGATGCACGTTCAGACCGTTTACGACCCATAGTTTACTACTAAAACAAAGAAACAATAACATTTACGGATTAAAGTCTCAAATATAACAACTAACTATGAATACCCAAAGTAGATGGCGTAACTAAACCGAACATCCACAATTCATAATCATTAAAAATAAATACCATGAATCAAAATTGCCTCTAATTCATTCTGTCCCAACTCAAGATAATTGACCTGTTATTGGGAGGTCCAATAATGACTCGAGTGAACTCTGGTCCATTGCTATGGGTCTACGAAAATACTACAAAATACTGAAAATAAAGTATAAAATAATCAAAGCACAATGACCCATCAAATAATAAATAAGTAGAAAAAAAATATAGACACGCGAGTAAATTAAACATATAAAAATACACGATTAAATATATATAACATGCTCATATTTTTTTACCTATCAAGATGTTTTTTTATGACATCTTACAGACCTTATTTTGACACATAATTTGTTCAATTCTTCCTACTTAAAAATGTTCAGCTCGAATGTCTTGCATCACCTCGTTCACTGATTTTGACGCGGTGGAGTCAGTTCATTTTCCTCAGAATAGTGAATTTAAGAATAGCAAGAAACTTGTCACATTGAAGACCAACAATTGAAACCTTATCATTTTTTGTTGGCTCCTTTTCATGACAAAGTCTAAGTCATCCACCGTTACCACACACCAATTCAAGGTGCTAATAAGAAGCCATGCAACAATAAATAAGTGAACTTTTAGTTTCACTTAATTTGAAAGGAAAAAATAAATAATAATATCAATAATTAAACTAACATAAATTCTCGTGTAAAAAAACCTCATCACTATGTTAAAAAAGAAAGAAAGAAAATGCATACATTTTTTGTTTATGTTACTATATTAAAGTATGATATTTTGAAGAAAGAGTTGTCGGTGATATATTGGTTACGTCAGTCTAACAGAATACTTAGGGGCTATTGTATACAAATTCTACAGTAAAAAAACTAATCAAAACTCAAATTTAATTCAACTTTAACTCAACTCCACTATCTCCAATATTATCAATATAATTAAATAATATCAACCAATCATTCTTACACATCACATCAACTTTAATTCACTATTCATCTACTCACATAATTTTAACTAACTATTAATTCCAATCATTTTCTCCTACTTTTACATCAAACCAACTTTAATTATTTTATTTTAAATATTATTTTAATATATTCACTAACAATTAACCATACCACTTTTTTTTCAAATTTAACTATAGTTAAAAAATAATCAGTTTTTTACTAGTTGAATTCATATCCAATCACCCCTTAATGTGCGATTGGATATATATTATTTTGGAAAGTGAGTTATAGAGTGGAAAAAATTGTTTATGAAATAATTTTGAGATTTTGGATGGATATGAGATGGAGTTTAATGATTAATATTGGAGTTTAATGATTAAGATTGATGCAATAGAAAAATAGAAAGATTATAAATATGAATGATTAAGCTTATATATAAATGAATGATATATAAACTTCTATAATTATATTTGATTAATATTTTCTTTTGTTACTTTTATTTTTATAAAAATAATCCCCATCTTTATTGGTTTATTAGGTTAAATCAATTTATTAATTACAATTTAGTTTATACTCCTCGTAAAATCGACTTTACTTACTATTACTAATTAGTGAAGATTTGTTGAAGAAAATTTTACTCCCTCCTATTTTTAATAGTGTCGTTTTGAGAAGTTGCACAGTAATTCAGATTTTTTTTTTGGCAATAATAGCCCTTATTAATGAGGATAGAAATTGATGTTTTGAAAAAAGATGAATAGTGAAAATGAAAAGACGTAGTGTATTTATTAAGGTAATAATGAAAAAATATGTACAAAAGATCCAATACGTTATTTATTTGGTTAATTGTTGATAAAACCAAAAATATATTTAGAAAAAATGGGAGTTAGTATAAATTTAAATTTATGGTGTGATGTTGAAAAGTACAAAAGAACCAACTAATTCCACAGGTTGAAATCAAGGCGACACGGTGTAATTATTACAAACTGATTCTTCAACTATTTCCTCACGTTTACAAACTAACTAGTGTATACCCCGTGCGATGTACGGAAACAATATTAAATTAATAATATTTTAAATAGACCTCGAGTTTGAGTGACTCAATGACGGAAGTGGAAACTACTATTGTTCCTATTTAAAAATAGGAAGCAAAAAAAATAATTATAAATTAAAAAGAAGGATAAACAATACTTAATAATTATAAATTAAAGATTTAGGGCCAAACAATGTAAAATTATTTTGTATAAGAGAATACAAAAAATTTTGATTACACACCATTTCAAAATTATTATTATACTTTTTTGTATGGTTAGCTTATAATATTTGTAAAAATAGTAGTAATTAGACCGATTAGCTTATAATATTTGTAAAAATATTAGTAATTAGACCGATAAAAATTAGCTTCTTAAAGTAGATAATGGATTTCCAGTAGTAATTATGAATTAGTTTCTATTTTATTTTATTTTTTCTTTTTAAAAATAATGGATTTCTAGTAGTAATTATGAATTGGTTTCTTTTTATTTTATTTTTTTAAATCTGTATAGATAAGGGATGAGATTTTTTAAACACGTGAGATCGTATGCAATGGGATTTTGTAACAGAAGAGATAAACGTGTAGATGTATCCTAAAAATAGGAAAAAAAAAAAACAAATATTTATTGTCAAACAACGGTTTTACTAAAAAAAATGAGCCGATTTTTTTGCCTATTCAGATTTGTCCAACAATTACTATATTAGGATATATTTAATGATTTTGGCGGGAAAAAGTTTCTAAATTTGTAAAAAGGTTATTCTTTTTATATAATGATAGATTATTACAAAAGAACCAACTAATTCCTCACGTTTTCAACTATTTTAGTTTCTTTTTAGAATTCCATATCTATTTTTATCTTAAATTTCTCTTTCAAAATAGGCCTGCTTTACAAAATTAAAATCCTTGTAACATTAATGCATCTAGGTAAAGCTAGCTTATCTAGAAAGTTAATGAAGTCTCAAAAGGTTTTCTTTTATATTAAAATGTCATTTAATATTAAAATTTCACAAAAATCCACAATCAATAAACACATTTTCATTGTTCTTCCACAAGTGTATGAACATCTTTAAGGTAAAATTATCCATCCACATAAGTGAATGAAAATATGTGATCATGCATCCAAATGTGATGAGATTATCATTGCCCATACAATATTTAACATTACACTACAAGGATCACAATAGTATATATATATATCTCCCAAGTCTCACTTATATATAATCTACAAGAAAAACATGAAACTAAATAAAGAAGGAAAGAAAGAAAGAAAAAAACACCAAAATCACAAATTCGAAAAATCTTATATATCGCTCAAATCCAATAAAATCGTTCTTTTTCTTTCTCGATCAATGGTAGCTTTGTACCGAAATTTTGGCTTGAGCACCACCTTGAATATATATAAAAGTGCATTCTTTGCCAGGCTCAAGCACTTTAAGCCATGTAGGAAGTTCATAAGTGTTCTTCTCTTGTGTTGGGCTTAGACCCCAAAGTGACCCACTTAAATTTTCTAAGTACAACTTCAACTCAACAATGGGTTTATTCGAGACGTTCTTGATTATGACTTTGTGCCGATAAAAGCCTTCTTTGCCAACGGTCCACGAGTTGGTTATGGTGTGGATGAATTCAACTGGGACAACTGAGGAAAAAAAAACGAGTGAAGTTGAAAAGTTAGTATGAGACGCAACATTTTTACACTCAAAAGTTATGTTAAGTAATCATTTGTTTCATTGCCTACTATATAAGATATAATTATGAATAATTCTCATAAGGTAAAGAAAAAACCTTGTGGTTTGTGGTAAGGAGTTGAAGGTTTTGGCAATTCATGACCATTTGGACCTGAAAAATCAGTTTAAAAAAACAGTTGTATCAAACAAAACCAATATAAAAAGTAAGAACAATGCAAAAAAAAAGGACTCTAGTTGAAATGTAGCAAGTTCAAATGTAGCAAATAGCCAAGTTGTAATAAATCACATGTGTTGTATAAGTTCGGTTTCAAATGACTCTAGTCGAAATTCATCTTGCGCCATCTTATTTTCGATTTGTCAGGTAAAATATATTGCAATAAGTAAGATTTTTTAAATTAACATTAGAATCAATACTAAAAAAATCTACCAAAAAATTAACTTTTGTAATGTTAAGTTTTACCCCTTGGGTATTTGCTACCTCAGCAAGTTACCCAAGTTGTAATAAATCACAAGTGTTTTAAAAGTTCGGTTTTAGATGACACTAGTCTAAATTCGTCTTATGCCATCTTTTTTTACGACTTGTCGGTATTCGATAGGTAAAATATATTGTAAAAAGTAAGATTGTTGAAATTAACATGTTTAAAATTCATGTTTAAAATTGTATTGCAAAAATTAAGTTATGGAAAATCTCATAAGGTAAAATCAAACCTTGTGGTAATTTGTGGTAAGGAGTTGAAGGTCTTGGCAATCCATGACCATTTGAACCTGGTGAAAAATCAGTTAAAAGAAAAAAAAAAATCAGTTGTATCAAACATAACCAAAAAAAAAACAAACGAGGAGGGCATTTATGTAGTTTTACCTGCAGAATTTCCAGGCAGGCTGTACAATCTTGCGAAAAGCCCAACTAAGGGAGCAGTGCCAGATAAAGTGGGCTCGGTTTGTTCATAATTAGACCGATCATCCGAGAACTCATCATTGGCATTTGGGCCTCCGACTAATGCTCCATAAACTACATTTGGATTGGGGTTGGGCCTTTTGTACCAAACCTCAAATCCCTCGACACAACCAACCGAAGATTGGAGAAGGGAAATTGATGTGATTGAAGCTCCTCTATGATGGACATGAATTGGATAGTTTTGTCCATAACCCACCAAATAGCTTATCGATTTTGGGTTCTTTCCAAGAATGTAATCAGCCTGTTACAAAAAATTAGAATTATTTAACAAAATTCGAAACTAAAAAACTACGGTTTTTGTAATAATCACAAGTTACGATTTACGAACGATCATTGATCATAAATGATCATCGCAGGTAGAAAATCAAATCGACACGTAATTACTTGTGATTTTGCAAAGTTGATGAGGTCTTGTGCTTGGAGTTGACCATCTGGACATTTGACGACTACATTTTTGGATTTGTACAGATAATCAGAGTAGACAGCAAGAAGAAATGCAGCTGAGGCAGGGTATTGCATATTGTTCCATTCTTGTAAATACACAAGCCCACCTAAATTGAAAATTAAAANTAATTGAAAATTAAAAAAAAAAAAAAATGTTAAACAAAAATCTACATAAATGTGGAAAATGGACGATACAAATTAGGAAAAAAATTGAATTAAATGTATATATGCTAACCAGGAGTCAAGTGCACGTTATAGCCAGCGTTCTTTTGCAGACAAGCGCACGTAAAATAATCGGCCTTGGCTCGATACTGTTCTAGTGTGGAGGCGTATTGTCCACCAGCTCCATCTAGCAAAACCTATTTTTTTTTTTTTTTTTTTNCATATTTCAAGTAATACTCTTCATTTGTAGCTCTGTGAAGCCATGTAGCAGCCCATAATAGTTCATCCTAGGACAAAACAAAACAAAAAGAATGAAAAATCAGGGGAAATTTTGTGTAATTTGAGTTGAAACAGAATAAAAGAATAAATAAGCTAGAGACTCACATTATAACCAGAAGATGTATAGAACTGCCTGGCATTCCCTATGGAGTCGATGAAGAGTCCCCTGAATCTATCTGCAAATGAGAAAATCTGACAAAAAAAAAAACAGACAAGAAAATCACAAGTTAAAGAATATAACATCTAATTTCTTGTATATTACATAGGAAAATTTAGAAACTAGACTAAAATATATGCCTTTATTCATTCGTATGCAGAAAATGCATTTTTAGTCCTGCTGGTTTAATGTCGTTGCAATTTTATTCCCAATATTACAACTTGTCGCATTTTGGTTCTGTCATTTAATATTTTGTTGCAATTCAAATGGCTGAAATTGAAACAAAATGATCGAAAATTCGGAAATTTGGGAAATTGTTGCAATTTTAGTCCTCAAATGAATGAAATTGCAGTAAAATATTAAATGACACACCTGTTTAGCATGAACTAGTAGAAGATTTGAATAGGCAGAATCGAACGGCCCGAAAGCAATCGAGGCTGCGGCTAAGGCGGCTGCAGTTTCTCCGGCAAGATCTGACCCGGGATTTTCTGGGTCGAGTTTGTAAGCCGTTCTTGATGTCGTCATATCTTCCGCACGTTCCCAACAATAATGATCCGACCCTCCATCTCCCACCTAAACACCGTTAAAATCGATCGAAAAAATTTAAAAAATTAGTTAAAGGCCATAGTTTAAACTTTTAAGTTATTTTGTTTAACAAGCATTTGATTTGACCAATCTTTTGATAATGTCTTGTGACATTTAACTATAAAGTAAGAAAATTGTAACTTGTACCTGTGCCCAGAGGACATAAGGCTGAGGATTTGCTTTTATGAAATAATTAGTGCCCCATTTGATTGCTTCAAGAGTGTGTCCTAATTGGTTTAGACTGATTAAGTCTTTCTTGAAATCGATAGCGGCCCACGATAACATTGTGACCGTAAAAGCCATCGGAAGCCCGAATTTCACGTGGTCACCGGCATCATAGTATCCACCGACCAAGTTCACCTGCAAATGTAGCAAATACATAAGTTGTAAGAAATTACAAGTGAAATTGTAAAAGTTCAGTTTTAGATGACTAGCCAAAATTCGTCTTGCGCTATNCTCGGTGTTCGATACGTAAAAAGTATTGCAAAAAGTACGATTTTTTAAATTAACATTACAAACAATACTCAAAAACTTCCAAAAAATTAAAGGTTCAACTTTTGTAATCTTGTTAAGCTTTACCCCTTGGGTATATTTGCACATGTAGCGAATACCCAAGTTGTAATAAATCACGGTAATGCTGTAAAAAGAGTTCGGTTTAAACGCTTGCCGAAATTCAGGTAAGTTGTACAAAATCAAAACTTTGACAAAAAATTTCTAAGTTTTGTAATGTTAAGGTTTAATTACCCCTTGAGCATATCCATCGTGAAGGCCCGAATCGCCACGCCACTTTACACGTTGGGTCACGGGTAGTTTGCCGGACCTTTGGGCCTCGAAGAACAATAAAGTCTTGTCGAGGGCATCTCCATAGTCGAACGATTGAACGCTGCATGAATTCAAAGCAAGTAGGCCAACTAATAGAGCTAAAACTACTTGTGGTGTAAGGCTAGACATTTTCTTGGGCTATTTGGAGTTGAAGTTAAGTTCTTTTTTGTATGAAAATGGTCCAAATATGGCAAGTATATATATATGGTGTGAAGAGGAAAAGAAAAATTATTTCAAGTAGAATAAGAATAAGTTGGTAAGGGAGCACATTAAGGGTGGTCGCCTACACGTTCATGATCACGAGAAACAAATAAATAAGTAATAATGGGAATAATATTCAATGCAAGATTGAGGTTCTCACGTTGTGATGAGATTTTTTTCAAATGTTTGTTTGGTTAAGGATTAGGAAGGAATTAATGTATCGTGTCAATATACGTGCATGTATAAGCTAATTTGATGACTAGATAGTATATCTCGGATTATTAAATTTTGTGTAGTCATAATAATATCAATAAGAAGGATGTTGAGCACGCTTAACGATTAGTCAGTCATATATTTTTAATACATATGTATATTTTTAAATGAAACTGTAACACTAAAGAAAATATTATAAACAAAAGTTTAACATTTCATATAATCATACATTTTTGTTAATAAAAGCCGGCATTTCAATTGATTAATTCTTTCAAAATCAACAACTCATGTGCTATTTATCTCATCCATTATATGTCGATATAAATTATTGTATGAGACAGTTTAATCGTTAGGCTGGTTGGTTGGTCCTTACTATTCTGTAAAAAGATTTCACGCTTATACTATCAAATTTTACACTTGTTTATATCATAATTCAATATGTATGTTATTTGTCTCATTCATTATATGTCAATATAAATTATTGTATGAGACAGTTTAATCGTTAGGCTGGTTGGTTGGTCCTTACTATTCTGTAAAAAAAAAAAAAAATTCACACTTATACTATCAAATTTTATACTTGTATATATCATAATTTTAATTATAACGTTTTCAGAAAAAATAGACATGTTTATCAAAGTAGATTTATACAATGTTATTTATTTAATTTACCCTTAAAATGTTCAAGGTTTAATGTGAAAATCAACATACTCACGGGCAACGACACACACGAGAAAATGCGCGCAGCTCGCAAGAGAAAGCAACCCCACCCACAATCCTCCCCAAGATCTCCCAAATCCGCTGCCGCCGCCGGAAGCCCATTTCCGGACCACCAGCGGCCTACCCCCGAAGAATGCCGCTCCGTGAGAGACGACCTCCTGTCCCTCCACGGCTTCCCAAAAGAATTCATCAAATACCGCGACCGGAGGCTGAAAACAAAATCCCAACTCAAAGATTCAGACAATCTCGGGCTTTCGAAGTACGACGGCGATCTTGACAGGGATGAGAGTGTCTTGAATGGTCTGGTGAAAACCATACTATCCCAGAATACTACAGAGCTTAATTCGGAAAGGGCTTTTGCTTCACTTAAAACTGCTTTTCCTGCTTGGGAAGATGTATGTAAGCATTTCCTTCGACTGTTTCCTCGTCTTCTTAACTTATTTACCTTTTCTGCTTTGTGGGTTTTTGGTTACATTAGTCTTGACCCGAGAAAGTTTAAAGCTTGAAGCTTTAAATCGTGTTTCTCGAAGTTACCTATGAAGATTTTCTGCAGTAAGGGATTTATTAATTATTCTATCTTGTGTTTGTTTTTTTTCTTTATTCTATGACATGTGTTCGATGTGTCTTGGTGTTGTATTGTGACTTGTGAGCGTAGTGCTTGATTGTTGATTAAACTTTAGCATTTGTAGAATGCTCATCAAAGACTGTATTTTTACTAGTTACTCGTGATTTGTTGATTAATTCTTCATGGGTGATTAGTTTGTGGTAATTTGTGAAGAAACTTGTGCTAGTGAGTTGTTTGAAAGTTTGCCGAAACAGCTAATCAGGTGGCCGGAAAATTTAATTCCCTATGCGGGTTAAGATCGTCAGGTCACACACACTCACACACACCAACGGTTAATGCTATTTTTATTTACGATATTTTTAGTAACCTAGGATGATTTTTAACATCGATTTTCGTAATTTTTGTCATGTTAGCGTCCACCTAATAGCTTCCTATTTGCAGATACTGATTGCTAGGTTGTTTATGTTTGTTCATCTTAAGATGTTGGTTTCTGCCCTGCTCGTAATAATCCTTTTCTATTATTAATTATTGCTATATTTCTTTTTTCCTTTTGCTTTTTTCTGTGCTTAGCCTGCAATTTGTTTTAAAGGTTCTTGCGGCTGAGTCGAAGAACATTGAGGATGCTATAAGATGTGGAGGCCTAGCTCCAAAAAAGTCTGCTTGTATAAAGAATTTGTTAAGCCTATTGCTCGAGAAAAAAGGGAAACTGTGCATGGAATATTTAAGAGAATTGTCTATTGAGGATGTCAAGTCAGAGCTTTCTCTTTTCAAAGGAATCGGTCCAAAGACAGTAATTTCTCTGCCTCTACATATCACCTTATTTTGGAAGTGACCGAATTGAGTTCCAGTAAATTGATTGATTAGTTAAAAAATTGCTAATGCTCATCTACACTTGTTTAACTGTTAATGGGGTTTTGTTATTTGATGTCTGATCATTCACCATTTCATAACTCTTTTACCTGAAGGAAATAGTCGATTTACCCGCTGTAAAACAATCTTGCAATTGGTCCTTTAGTGCATAGGTGTGGAAATTATATGAAAATGCCAACACAAAACTATATGAATGATTGTATAATAGAAATGTTTTTCATGTTAGATTATATGGCTTATCTTTTGCTGGATACTAATCTTGCAGAAATTACTTTGTTAATGCCCGTTTGTGAAATAATTTGTGGCAGGTGTCGTGTGTGTTGATGTTTTATTTACAGCACGATGATTTCCCTGTCGACACACATGTGAGTACTTGGCGTGTCTTTCTCGATTTTTCTTTCAACCCAAGTACAAAACAAGAAAAAAAATAAATAAATAAAAAATTGAGCAATTATTTACAACTCTCAGATATTTTGTTCAGGTTTTTCAGATAGCTAAAACTATGCGATGGGTGCCACCAATGGCAGACACTAAAAGCACGTATCTTCATCTCAACCAAAGGATTCCGAGTGAACTGAAGTTTGATCTCAATTGTCTTCTTTATACTCACGGCAAGGTTTGTCGAAAATGCTCTAATAGAAAAGTAGCAAAGAAAAGAGAGGAAACTGAGGATGGTGATTGCCCTTTACTAGCTTATAACAGACAAGTCTTATGTTGAAAGAGAAGTTTGAAAAATGAGATCAGCACTTGGCTTGGATTTTTACTTTTTACTTTATCAAGGCTCATTTTAACCACTGTGATGGGGTTAAAAAAGTATTTATCATCTTGAACATGGACCCAGTAAGGTTCGGAGATTAAGAAATTCTCTGTATCAAAATTCGTAGATCAGTAAAATTCAATCTCCATAATCGTAACAAAATATCAGTTCAATACGATATTCAATACTATCGGGATGGAGTTTGGTTTGGTATGGTTCGGAGCTATGGAGATTTTGAATTAATTTTCAATTTTTTTTTTTCGAATAATTATCTAGTTATTTTCAAATTTTGATATATGTATATATATATATATATATATATTATTTTAAATTTACAATGATCAATACTTAGCATATTAAATATTTTATTCGAAATCAACTTTAGAAAAATTGAAGTAACTCAAAATTTTAGATAAAACTAAATTTGTGCAACTAATGGTTTTGATATTCAAATAAATTATAATATAATTGTTTTTTAAGGTATTTCTTTAGTTTTTCATACCATTTTAATTATAAGATGGAATGTAAATATGCTTTTTAATAAATTGTAGATCAAGTATTATTAAGACTAAAATTTAAGTTATTAATAAGATTTTAAAGATACTCAAATTATATAGGATTAAGTTTATATAATATCTATGAACAAGACATATCTAATATTATAATTCTATTTTAATTTCGGTTCTTTGGATCGGTAAAGTATGAGATGGTTCGATACTCGGCACGGATATTTGTGGAATCTCTAAAACTGTACAAATTATTTTTTCGGTTCGGTTTGGACAAAGTCAAATAGTCTACAGTTATTCGGTTCATAGTGAATTCGATGTGGTTTTTGGAACGGTTTAAGATTACTCGAGTCCAATACTCGGCCTTGGACCACAGTAAAATTAAGCAGGTATCCCAGCGACTCATTAGTCCACAGGAATGGGTGAGAACTTATTATATTCCTCTTTTATGTTGAGTTTATGTATTTCATTAATAACTGAAGTTTTTTTTTTTCAACTTTTTTTCATTAAAAAATTTAGTTTCTTTTTTTTCAACTTTTCTTATTAAAAAAAATGTTTTCAATTTACTTGCTAAATTTTGCACTTTTTTTTTTTTTTCACTTTGTTTTTTACGCTTATTTGTTTTAAAAAAAATGATTAATGAGGGAAAAAATATATAAAAATTAATTAAGAAAATATATGAGGTACAAAACAATAAAATTCGGAGTGTTTGAAAAACTCTAAAACTCTTGTTTTTGGTTGGGGTTAAAATCGGTTGAGAAAGAGAGAGTAGTTAGTTGCAATAATGAAGACCGTATGTGTAACAGGAGCATCAGGTTTCATTGCCTCATGGATCGTCAAATTCTTGCTCGAGAGGGGTTATACAGTCAAAGCATCCGTTCGTGACCCAAGTTAGTTTATGTTTAAGAAGTTTATTTGTGTTTGTCATATGAAAAAAGAAAATAATTAACAATTATTTACAGATTGATGTACACAATATTGTCTAATTCTCCCATTCGTGGTTCTTATTATGTACATCAAGTTTATGTTTTATCGTCAAATTTGACAATATTTTTCAGATTTATGTATACAGTAGTTTTTGGCTTATTTTTATGTACACAAATTATTTAGCATGGATGAATATTTTTCCCATTAAAATTATCTATTTATTTTACAGATTTTAAGAATTTAAGAAGCTTGCGTATGTGTGGTTGACGAAAGTTTTTTTTTAAATAATTATGAAAATGAAATGAATATGGAGAAATTAATTAATGCTGCAGATGACCCGAAGAAGACGGAGCACTTGATGTCCCTTGAAGGAGCCAAGGAGAGACTTCACTTGATCAAAGCCAACTTACTTGAAGAAGGCTCGTTTGACTCTATAGTCGATGGTTGCGAATGTGTTTTCCACACTGCTTCTCCATTTTACCATGCAGTTAAAGACCCTCAGGTTCATCTATTATTTCATTTTATTATATCTTTATATTAACATTAATTCAATACCATGGCTTAAAAACTATTTATATCTATTGTTAATATGATCGTGTGTAACAAAACTATAAATAAAAATGTATAATCATGCTTTGATATATTATGTTTATGTATTCATTAATCAATAGTATTTTATTTATTACACATGTTTTTCTGTGAGGCGGAGTTGATTGAAGGGGACACTGAACGTTCTGCGGTCAGTAGCCAAAGCACCATCGGTCAAGAGGGTCGCGCTGACGTCATCTATAGCTTCAGTCGCATATAATTAATGGCGTCAAGTGTCAACAATAATTTTTAATTTTCTGTTGACGTAGTATTGAGCAACAATATTTATGCACTCGTCCCTATATTTTGTGTCCTAAAATAATAAGTCCTTTTGACATTTCTTTTGTTTCTGTTTGCAATTTAATTGGAATAATAATAAGTTTGTGGTGTTGTCTTCTGGACACTTGTTTTGTTTTTGTTTGCAATTTAATTGGAATGATAAGTTTCTGATGGTGTTTATCGACTGGTATCATTGGTTTGGTGTATGCATGGTGTGACATTTAGTAATATTATTATTATTAGTTCATGCATATTAGTTAAGATTATCCGATACTTGATCGGGAAAAAAACAAAAAAGAAAAAATTGGCCGTGTATTGAGAGGTTCATAATTTCATATTTGTTCAATCGTGTGTGTGTATTTAGATTTTGGTAAAATGTTGTGCGTTTGTTTCCCCTCCCAAATTCGGGGTTTTTTTTATTAAAAGAAAAAAAAGAAATAAAAAGCATGGTAGGGATGCAGAAACGAAATCGAATTTGGTTATACAATGGCGAAAAGACATAGATAACCACCTATTAAAAATCATTTCTATAAATAAATCTAATTCAGAAGAATTCCAAAATTACTTCAATGCATTCCAAAATAATATATCCAACAATAGTGGGAAGTTATTTTTCAATAATTAAACCGTAACTAACATTTCTCTCTCATCTTTTTTTCTTCTTATTCTCTCTTATTTTTTTTCTCTTATTTCTCTTTTAATGTTTTCTCTATTTTCTCCCTTTTCTTCTTCTTCTCTCTTTACGTTTTCCCTCTCTTCTCCCTTTTCTTCTTCCTTTTCTTTTCTTCTTCTTTTCAAAATGAATGCCTAAAGAATATAACACCAAAAAAATTAAAAATAAAAAAATGATTAGCTGATTATACACATGTATAACAATTAAATTAACTAAAAAACAACAAAAATATTTGTTTTTTTTTTAAACTTAAAATCGTAAAAACATACAAGATATTAACAACAAAGCAACATTATAACATCGGTAAAACAACATGAAAACAACCTTATATTAATAAAATTGCAATTGTCTTGTTTAAAGCAGAACTAAATTATAAACCAAGAGTACATAAAGACTCCAACATACCACTACAAATATCCACATAATATCATAAAAAAATTAGTAGAACAAATCAATTAAAATAAATTTATTAGAAATTTGAAAAGAAATATAATTGCAAAACGATAAGGAAAAGAAGGAGAATAGATGATGATTAGAGAAAATGGAAAACAGATAATTTATGTAGAAATTCGAAAGAAAAAAAAAACTGACAAAAAAATGGAAGCTAAAAAGTGAAAAGACAATTACCTGNAAAACAGTTATTACCTTAGAATACAAAGAACGGATAAAAAGAGTATTAATGGAATACTGAATGATGTGTATCAACTAAGTAAAACATAATTTTAAAAGGTCATAAGGTGTCCTTTATTCGTTATGGAATTTGTGAAAGTCTGTTTTTCTTGGTAGTGTACTAGCTAGCCCAGCCCAATTCATCTAATTCATAACAGCCCATCTTCTTTTGGGGTTTAACTTAATATAAATTTTGTCTGACGATGCAATACTTATACTTCTAAGCGCACATAAATTCAGTTTCTGCTGTTATATAGAATAGAACGCTAAAAATAAAAGAAACTGATCCGAGAAAAAAGGAGAAAATTAATAAATTAGAACTTAGAACTTATGGTGTTTTGAGAACAAAAGGATAGAATATAATTTATGCTATTGAGAAATTTTTATTTCCAGTCCACTCCATTTTTAATCCGGTAGCTTTTTTGCTATGCTGTTCTACCCTAATTTAATATTTAGATGTCATATTTTATAATATAAATACACATTTATATAAAAAAATATGTCTGTCCAACTGTTATGTAGCCTTAATTTATGAATTGAGATAGTATTGCTTTTGTCATTCTTCTTATTTTTATAGCTCTTTTATATATCTGTCGTTAAATAGTTATACTCTTTTAACGAATGCATAATTTTATATTTGACTATTATGTATTACATTATAATATAAATAATAACACAACATTTTATAATTAAATATTTATTATTATAAGATAAAATTTTTGCCCTTAGGTATTTATGGATGGAGACAAGTATTGTTTTCGCTAGCCAAGATATGGGTCAATGTGGTAATATAGAAAATAAAGGGGCTATTTCGAAAATACAGGACTTTCTTCCCCAATATTTTCAACTTTCCCAAAGCAATACTTCTGTTGAGCCGATGTGCACTTTATGCTGCAAAAAATCATTCTGAATTGTTCTTCTCTCAGGGTCCCTGTTCGAAAAGAAAGATAACAATGGCGTTTTTTTGCAATAAATCCACTCGCTCCGCTCTCCGCCTCAGTTCCCAGGTAAATTTCACTGAACATACTTTTCGACTGGTGGAAAGAATAAAAGTGGAACGAATTTGATGGGGTTTATGTGAAAATTTAAGCAGAAAGCTGATGATTCGTTGATGATTTCAAGGCGCGGGCTTCATGTTGAGCCCGGGGCTCGCGAGAAGGCTGTGAGTGTTTTCTTTATCGTTTTTCATCTGATTTAATTTCTGCCCCCTTTTTGGTTGTGTGAGTAAATCGTTTGGTCTTTTGTCCAATTTCCTTCTTGATCGTGTTCAATGGTAAGATTTATAGTAGATTCCAAATGTAAAAATGGAATGTGGATAAAAGTTAAAATTTTTATATGGGTGTATATTTTCCTGGTCAAGGCTGAAGCTTTGTGTCATTATAGAAAGCTAAAGCTTTTGGGCCTTAAGCAAGGCTACAATAAGGAGATATATGGGAAGTTTGGGATATTTTATTTTTATGGTGCTATTGTTAGATGTCATATGTGATTAAGAGGAGAGCATTCAAATAGTGGGTTTGCAATGCTAAATTGTTTCCTATTGATTTTATCTTCTTCCTTTGAAGCACATAGAAGGAGTTTGGATAGAACAAAGTTGACTTTATAAAAGGTTTATGGTTATCAAGTTGCAAGTGATAAACTTGGAAGTTGATTTAGAAATCGAAATGGAAGTTCGCCCTTTAAGTACAAAATATTTATGTTCATGATATATTTTCCCAGCTTTTGTGAGTCTTAATTTGGATTTGTTGAAAATAAACCTTCCCGCCTGAAATAACGAAAGCAAGATAGCTATAAAAGACCAATACTATCTCAGATTGGTAAATGAATATGTAATAATCCCATACAAGGTGGGGGTGATTAGTGGATTTTGAATCGTTAACAGTGATGGGTCGATTTATTTTAATAAGAGCTTAATCTGGAAGAAAGCAGCAAATATTCAAAGATTTTACTTTTTCTAATTTGGCTTTCTATCAGATTTTCTTATAAAACTGGACAAACTACTACTCTGTAAGGATCTGCCCATCTGCTAAGTGTAATCCTTTATTTTCTTTTTCAGAAACATCGAAGTATAATGATTTTTGTATCCTTCATTAAGCTTTCGTTTAGATGTCATTTTTTTATTTTATTTTAGAATTCCTTCAATATTTGAGTACATATATACTCTATATACAAATTTTCACCCTTTGAACTATATTTATATGTGTTTCTGGCTGTGACATTTTACTATGCTTGAGTTGTGAAATATGAGCAATATTTTCTCACTGTTTTACAGCTCTTGGAGGAACACCCATCCCTTAAACGCTTCAAATCAACTAAGAATACTGTGAGACTTATCAAACGAGCAGGAGATGTTCTTACCGTTGTAGTTGTAGCTGGTATGTTTATCAGTATTCACATTATGATTCGATGGTATTCTCAACGTATTTTGATAAGTCAATAATTTTCTATTATCGAGGTATTATTTCATGTTTTTAATATGGCTTAAGAGGGTGCAAGCATAAAACTGAAGTGCATTGCCTTTGGAAGTACTGTATGATACATAAACTAATCAATCAATAGAAATTAATAGCAAGAAATTGGTTATTTTATGCTGTGTTAATTTCTTATGCTGATTACAAGTCCTTGAATATACTTGCTTACATAATAAGCACTTCAAAACGTCTTATAAGCCTGTATCTTAACATATGAGCTCAAAAGAAGTGTTTCACTCAACTATTTTAGAAGATAAACAAATCTGAACCTTTTGTTCTTTCTCTAATGAGATCTGTTTTGATTAAAGTCAACTTTAATTTTGGTGATTTTGATAAAACTGTCATCACTGACACATTTTTGAATCATCATTTATCCAAGCACTTGAGCATCTAACATCTTGTAACCTTTGCAAAGCATCTTATATCACGTATGAGATTTATGTGAAAACAAATATGGAATTTTTTATTTTTTATTTTTTGTACTGGCGAGTCTTATACTCTGCCACTGTTGATGTTTCTTTCTCAGGATGTTGCTATGAGATTTATGTGAAGGCAGTATTACGAGAGGAAACTCGTAAACAAGCAAAAGACAGTGCCTGATTTTCGCAGTTTTTTTTGTAGCAAAAGACGCAATTTTAATGCCTCGTTTTAAATCAGTTGTGGGGTGTTTGATAATCTGACTGCATGAGACCCTGTGTTGGTGAAAGTTGAAATAAAGTGGTGCAGTTTTCTTTGTCACATGTATGTGAAGATATCTTGAATTCTTGATGGGTGCTGAATTTGGAGCATTTATTGTTTTTTTCAGGTTGAAGTTTTGCAAATTTGGCAGATTTCATTTTCTTGGTTTGTTTGTTTCTTTTTTTTCAATGGCTAATGATTGTGAAGCTCATATCTAAAATGTTTGCTTTGGCCATTTCCAAATTTCCCCTACAAGATTTTTATGCCTTGTGATGGCTTCTGACTTTTGACCCATTTATACTTTTGT